TTTTCAGCAGAAAGGTGCAAAAGAAAAGCCACAGTCAATACTAAGAACAGTATCTACTGTAATCATCACTTTCTTGGTTGTTACATTATAGCTGTGAAGACAAAATGAAAACACTTGTTTTAATGTCTTTCTAATGCTGTAATCAGCCGAATAACAATTATGTGTATTAAAAGAACATAAATAGTCACTAAAAACAATATTTGAGTGTTTTCTTTATGATTTTTCACAGTTTCTTTCTGGTTGTGTGTGTGTGTGTGTGTGTGTGTGGGGGGGGCTCTGTTTGTTCCTATAAGTGGGTGAGTAAGCATACGTGCAACAGCATGGGAATAAATAGATGTGAAGTTGTGTGTGAGTGGAGCACATGTGCACATGTGTGTCAGGCTGAGAGCAAGCGTGGGTGTGTGTACACCTGTGGCTGTGGTGTTACTCACTCATGCACTGCAGGCCATGCTTTTTCTGCAGGGTCTTGCTGCACAGTGAGCAAGTGGCACAGCTGGAGAAAGAGCCTGGCACCAAAAAATGCCCACTGCTGCTTCTGCTGCTGTTGCTGCTGCCGTACACTTTCTCTTTGGCCTCCTTCCCCTTTTCTTTCTGCTGCTCTTTTTCTCTGTTCTTACCCTGCAGAGGAACAAGAAAAGCAAACACAGAGTTTTTATATGCAAATGTGTGTGTTCTCTTTCAGTGTGGTACTTGTTGCATGGGTGTGAATGACATCACATAACCGCATCAGAGACAGGATATGTGTAGGTAGATTTCACATTAGAGGTTAAAATGTGATGGAGCATTTTTAGCTAATTATTAGCTGTAATAGGTCATTATATGCATTGCAGTTCAGGCAGCATGTTATATTGCACTGAGTTCAAAGTGGCTTTGTGTACCATGTGTCTGTGGTATCAGTTTACCTTATCTTTATTAAAGGAGCCCGTCATCCTGTTCCTCAGAGAGCTGAGAGTCCTCTTCACCTTGGTGCCTTTCTCCACCTTCTCTGTTCGATCCTCCTCGTCCTCATTCCTGGTCGAGGAAGAAACAGCAGACATACAGAAACACCTCTATGGTTTGGAATTAAATCATCTCGTACTCATATTTAATAATCATTAAGAGATTGTACAGTGTTTATCTTGTGCAAGTTATATGACTTGTATCATAATTGGCATGCTCTGTGATTGTCAACTCACAAGAAACTAATATGGAAAACTGCTGATTTTGTTGAATAGTTAAAGCTGCAGTGATGAGAAATGTAATTGGATTGTTTCCATGAAAGGCAACTGAATTATTGCAGAACCAAGATCATCTTTCACTGTACAGACACTTGATGTTTTACCCCTCTTGGTTTTGACCTCCCGTCATAGATTGCCAATAAAGCACCTCTATGCAAATAGACAAGACACATAGTAAACAACTACTGAGTGCTCAATTCTGTGGAAATGTTTATTTTCTTCCAAAACGTTCATGAATGTGAAACATTTCAAAAAAACATTTGCAATTTAGTGATAAAGGAACAGTGATGGGCACAATACTTACTCATAAGAGAGGAACTCATACCAGGTGACATTTCCTTTCTCTTTGGTGTCTGATCTGTTGTTCCTCTGCTTCACTCTGTGGAGAAACAATGAAATAATTTCAGTTTTGCATGAGACTCAAATATTACTGTAAACACTTTTATCACAGCACAAGTGAATAGTGTAGAAACAAGTAAAGAATCTGACAGTATATTGTGGTTTAGCCAGCAATGCACTTACTTATCTCACTTACTGTAACTAATGATTTTGTGACATCAAAAAAAAAATCCACAAGCCCTTTCCAGGGATAATTCAGTTATGGAAAAGTGTTTCAGTGCACATCCAGGCACATGCAAACACACATGCCAAAATCATGCATGCACATACATGTACACACACAATCTGGCTCTGCTGCTGCTCTGAACACTAGGATGGCGTTTGAGCAGTGGTTGAAGCAAGCAGACCTCCCTCTCCTGTTTACTTACCCATGGTACAGCTTTAGCTCCTGCAGAACTTTCTGTACCATCAGCCTAAGACAAACAAGACACTGTGGCTGAGTGGGGGCTGTGAGGAGGAGAGGAAAGGAGGGGAGAGGGAGAGAAGGAGAGAGGAAAGGAGAGGAGAGGAGAGGAGGAGAGGGCGAGACTGCTGGGAGCTAGGTGTCAAACTGCGATTTAGAGACGAATCCTCCCTTGTCTGCTGTGTCCACACAATTTCCAGAGCACACATATACTTTACACACACACACACA